AATGGTGTATCTTTGGCTATGTGTATTTTCACCAAAAAACAAAAAAAAGAGGTTGAGAAGTTAGAGGGTTGATATGTTGTGGGGTTGTTAATCAAGGTCATAAAATATCATGTGTACTTCTGTTTCATGAGAAACTATTTGTTCTGTAAGCCTTCACCTGAAGTACAATTAAAAAAAAAATAACTGTGTTTTAGAGGTTGCGTTATATTTACACTTGGAGGGGAAAATGTAATACCCAGCAAACGGAACCAATCTATGACCATCCTTTCTTTGACTCTACACATGACCTGCTTTTCTTTGACTCTACACATGCCCTGCTTTTCCTACATCTGGTTCTCCCTCCCTTATCCCAAGCCTATCACTGGCCTTTCCCCAAGATCTAGTCCTGCTCTTCCTGTTCTAATCTCTCTGAACCTCTTTTGGAGGATTATTTTATTCTCAGGACTTCAACTGTCACCTCTATGCTGATGAGGACCAAATTTTCCATCAGACTCAAATTCTCACTTCAGTTCCACTCCCAAACTCCAGCTGACTACAGGCATTGGCTGGTATTTTCTACAAAATCAAAACTGAAGTCTTCATCATCATCTTCCCTGTCCCCACTAAGATTGGTTGCTACTCCTGACCTACTTATTTCTGTCAATTGCAGCTTAATTCTCTCTGAATTCACAAAACCTGGGAACCAGAGTAGCCACAGAGAGAGGTTTCCGTTCTCCCCTTTACCTACTGATTCCTGAGAGTGAATTTGTGTAAATTGTACTCTCAAGAATACAATTTACACAAATGTAGCAGTTTAAAACAATACTCATTTATTATCTCACAGTTTCTGTGGGTCAGGAGTCCAGGCACAGCTTAGCTGGGTCTTCTGCTCAGGGTCTCACAAGGCTGCAATCAAGGGGGCCAGGCTGTGTTCTCATCCGGAAGTCTAATTGAAGAAGAATCTGTTTCCAAGCTCATTCAGGTTGTTGGAAGAATTTATTTCCTTATGAGGCTGCCGTCAGGTCTGCCCTCAGTGCCTTGTCAGGTGTACTTCTCCAACATGGCTGCTTACTTAATCAAGCCCGCAAAGAGAGTCTCTCAGCTCAGGGAGGGCCCAGTCCCTCTTTTAAGGACGCTCACCTGATTAAGTCAGGCCCACCCAGGGCCTACTCAAAATCAATTGATTTAAGACCTTAACTGCACCTGGAAAACCTCTTCATCTTTGCCATATTCATTCACTAGAAGAAAGTCAAAGGTCCAACCCACATTCAAGGAGAGGGGATTTCACAGTGTGTGAACAGCAGGGACAGGAATTATGGGGGCGACCTAAGGTCTGTCTAATACATGACCCTTCATAATGTCACATAATCCCTTCTTCTTCTGAATTCCTCTAACATCTGTGTGGGAACTACTAGCTTAACAATATATTCTGTAATGCTAATTGTGTGAGTGTGGGTTTCCTCCCTGACAAAATTATAAACTTATGGGTCTTTGTATTTCCCCCAAATTTCTTTCAGGATGTTAGACACACACTAAGCACTCATTAAATATTTGGAGTATAAATGAAATTAAAGACCTCAATTACAAAAGCATTCCTATGGATAAATCCAATGATCATGCTCTCATTTAGCATTGTCAAGAAGCAGTGGCACAGAGTGACTGAGAACAAGGATGTGGTAGTTAGACAGCCTGGGTTTTAATCCCAGCTCTGCCATTTCCTCTAAGTCCTTAGGCAAGTTGCTTGGCCCCTCTGTGCCTCAGTTTCCACATCTGTGACATGGGTATGCATTATGGATTTAATTATGTCCCCCAAAAATTAGTGTCAACTTGGCTAGGCTATGATTCCTAGTATTGGGTAGTTGTCCACCATTTTGTGATCTCATATGATTATCCTCTTGTAAATCCTAACCTCTATGATGTTAATGGAACCCTTGTGTAGCAGTGGTTAAGAGTTTAGCTGCTGTCTTAGTCATCTAGTGCTGCTATAACAGAAACACCACGAGTGGATGGCTTTAACAAAGAGAAGTTTATTTCCTCACAGTAAAGTAGGCTAAAAGTCCAAATTCAGGCCATCAACTCCAGGGGAAGTCTTTCTCTCTTTGTCGGCCTTCTTATCAGTGTTCCTACGGACTAGGAGCTTCTCGGCGCAGGGACCCTAGTTCAAAGGACACGCTCTGCTCCCAGCACTGCTTTCTTGATGGTATGAGGTCCCCCAACTCTCTGCTTGCTTCCCTTTCATCTCTTGAGAGATAAAAGGTAGTGCAGGCCACACCCCAGGGAAACTCCTTTTACATTGGATCAGGGATGTGACCTGGGTAAAGGTGGTGTTACAATCCCACCCTAATCCTCTTTATCATAAAATTACAATCACAAAATGGAGGCCAACCACACAATTCTGGGAATCATGGCCCAGCCAAACTGATACACACGTTTTTTGGGGGACATAATTCAAACCATGACAGCTGCTAACCAAGAGGTCAGCAGTTCAAATCAATCAGCTGCTGCTTGGAAACCCTATAGGGCAGTTCTGCTCTGTCCTATAGGGTCGCTATGAGTCGTAATCAACTGGACGTCAACAGGTTTGGTTTAATTATTTGGTTTATGATGTTAATGAAGCAGGATTAGAGGCAGTTATGTTAATGAGGCAGGACACAATCTACAGGATTAGGTTGTTTCTTAAGTCAATCGCTTTTGAGATATAAAAGAGAGAAGTAAGCAGAGAGGAAAGAGACCTCATTACCACCAAGCAAGAAAAACCAGGAGTGGAGCGTGTCCCTTTGGACTTGAGATCCTTGTGCTGAGAAGCTGCTAGACCCAGGGGAAGATTGATGACAAGGACCTTCCCCAGAGCCGACAGAGAGAGAAAGTCTTCCTCTTACAGCTGGTGCCCTGAATTTGGACTTCTAGCCTCCTGAACTGTGAGAGAATAAATTTCTGTTTGTTAAAGCCATCCACCTGTGATATTTTTGTTATAGCAGCACTAGATTACTAAGACAGTGTGACCTTAAGGTTGTGTGTCAACTTGGTTGGGCCGTAATTCTCAGTGGTTTGGCAGTTTTGATGTAGTTGGCAGTCATATAATAATGTAATCACTTCTATGATGAGATCTAAGATAATGTGATCACCTCTATGGTGAGATCTGCTGTAAGCAGCCAATTGGCTGAAAGGCAGTTTCTTAGAGGGTGTGACCTATATCCAATATAGGTGGACTTTCTGGAGAGGCTCACAGGCTTTTGCTAGCTCTGGATCGTGCAGCTGTCTCCTGTTCATTTGACCTCTGGTTCTTGGGACTTGAGTTAGCAGCTTA